CCCACACAAAATCCTATTAGTCGAAGGGTGTATTTTCAACGTTGTTCTTTTCAGAGTGCACATCAAATTATTTCAGCCCCGAATAAAACACAGTACAGTATTTGCACGTTTGTTAAACAACTAGGATAATTCTTCTGGTTCATATTAATGTAGCTAATTTGAGTAGGATTGTCTCTAATTGTAGGTGAATCAAGGAAAATTAACATATAATCACTCTTGGATTTTGATGTTAAATGCCCTCTGAAGATAGTCAAGCCGTTTTTGAGTCACCATCTAGCCAAAACTGCCCAAATGCTGTTTATACCTTGAGTAGTTCATGGCCTTCCGTTCCTGATGCTTAATACACTACCTCTCATAAGTTTATTACACCCTTTTTGGAGATGCAAAATCTCGTTATTCATTACGGGATTCCTGTGGTGCAGGACGTGATTCTTGTAGCGTGTGATTGTGACGCCGTAAAAGCTGTACTTATCATGGCTGAAATTCTTGCACGATTTTAAGAATCTGTACAGTGACTAACACGCAAACAAATTTGTTAATTATTTACCATGTGGAGGATTGACATGTGGGTATTTTACACAATTATTTTGTATGTAAAAACTGCTTTTAAAGATGCTTTAACAAAATTCATGGCTCAGTAACCAGGAGCTGTGCCAACCATCCTTAAAAACCTTTATCGTGCCGGTTTCTCCAACCCAACTGACTTCTCTTGGGTCTTTGAGGATAGCACAGGACGGTTCTTCAATAATTTATACCAAAAAGCAATCAAAATTCTTCCTCTCCCTTTTTGCTGCCTGGTCCTCGCACGCTAGGCATTCTGATTAACTAAAATGCGCACGCATCAAAGGAAACAACTTTCGGTTTCCCAAAAACTCTAAAATAATTGCAGTTTTTGTTTCACGTTCTGTGTCTTTGGTGAAAAACCTCCCAATATGATACCGTAAAATTCCGAAAATAAGCCCCAGGGCTTATATTTTTCAAAGGCCCTTTTTGAGGGGCTTATATTCGGAGGGGCTTATGTATGGAGGGAAATTTGCGTTTCAAAATCAATTGGGCTAGCTTGTAGTGGAAAGGAAATTTACCCTTTTTGCTTTGTTTTACTTCTTGTTTTCACGGGCAAATTCCAAGTACAAGCCCCCTGGTGGGCTTATATTCAGAGAGGCAATTTAATGGAGGGTTTTTTGCGTTACGATTTTGGGGGGCTTATACATGGAGGGGCTTATTTTCGGAATTTTATGGAATTAGAAATGAAACTATGCATTTACTTTAAAGACTTCTATTCCATCAAACAAACATTTATCACTATTTCAACACTTCAATTCTGGGTTAGAAATTTAGTTTGAAGGAAAACAAAGGTTAATAAAAATTGAAGTAACATATCTCCAAAACATAGTGATTGATAGGGTAAACATCTGAGATTTTAGACATTCTGCATTTTTGGTCATGTGATCATAGGCGTGGTCCATTGACGTCATGTTTTCATCTTACATCACTAACAAGTACTCTGCTATAAAATGACTAATGCATGGAAAAAGGAGTCCAAGATATACGTCCAGAATTTTCCCTAGCAACAGCCATATAAAAGATAGGTCAGAGGGCACTTAACTGAAGCCTAAATAAGTTTGTGATTATACTTATTACAATCGGGGATGTGTGGGTCCTGGTGACACCCGGCCCTTGATAAAAAATTGTTATGTTGACTAAAGCTAAAGAAATTTGCGATTTGAATATACTTATTTCAATTGGCGGGACCGCACCCGCCCCGTTAAAAAAAAATAAAGCTTAATTTGTTCATGATTTTGAATATACTTATTACATGTGAAATTACAGTTCCGCCCCTCGAAAAATAGGCACTCAAGAGGTGCTTGTGACTACTGCTGAAGAGTAAAATGCATTTTTAACACATTTGAATGCTTTAAAATGCATTGCAACGTTTCTCAGTGATTCGTAACGCATTTTTAACCTTTCTATGAATGCATGCAACTTTGTCAAATGATGAAGAATGATCAACACATTGGAAATGTAACCATTTTTTTGTGTGATGATAGAAATGATAGCAAAGTGTCAACGTGGGATATGTAGTCACTCCAACATGTCCTCTTTACAATGCGCTGGAAAAGGTCTAGTCTCCTTTGCAGCTGTAAGAAGATTTGTGTATGGCTCACAGGACCTGAGAGGAACCCCCAAAATTTATACCCTGACCGTGCTTTGAAGTCGATAAATTGTAATAACAGAAACATCATTTAGGTAGAATTTTAAAAGAACAAAAACTCAAAAAATTTTCTGTTTCCTTACTACATATGTTGCGAATTGCATGTCACTTGCCTGGAAAATGAAAATCCTTTGTGAAACATGATCCTGTGAACTGTTTCATTGCCTAGCATGTGACCGAAAGCCAACTCCAAAATTCATTACACAAAGTAACAATGCTGATGTTTTCACAGGAGTTGATTCGGAGAGGATCGAGAAATCTGTCATACAAATATCATAGTTTCTGGACTTATTTTGAAGATGAGAAGTGGATATACTTATTCAGAAATGATGTATTTCATTGCCTTTTCATTTAGTTACAGTAGCTATCAAAGCAGACCATGAGGTAGGCAAGCATTTAGTTTGTCATTGAAGACCATCGACAAAAGATTCCGAAAAATGATTATCTTTGTATGCTGATTGACTCCGAAGTATACTCTATTGTTCCGTACTAAATGTAGCTGGTGCACATGACAAATAAAACCTTAACGTTCACAGGCACCCAGAAAGATAGAATTTTTTATATATACCATGTAGTGAATTGCCAATCAATGTGGACGATTTACTTTGTTGAATGTAAAATTGCAACATGATTACTAAATAACTCTCATTATTACATATAGTAGTAGTACCATATACTTATATTGTATGTAGTGTTATAGTTCTCATGACTATTGAATAATATTGTGCATAGCCCACTGAAACTGCATTTCAGTATCTGTACATGTTATATTTGATTTTGGAGTCTTGCTCGCTTTGATGTTCATCTTCAAAACTGAAAACAGGATCAAGAAGTGCTCTCTCAACACAGTTCAGATAAATCATTGAATCAGCTTGTTTAATCAGTCACTAGCTGGATTCTGTATGCTACATGAAAAGAACAGACTCAAGTTTAGTTTACGGCACTAGCTCTCTTAGTGAGCTCTTGTTTACAGCTATAGTTAAGTAACTAAGTGATGAAGTATCCAATATTTTGGTTCCAAAACCGTTCTTGCAGTCATAGCTAAGCAGGAGTGTTACAATCTTACCTTGACACATTTACAATCTGGTACCAAATAAATCAGTGTTACTGGAAAGCGTGGTTCCATGCTTAATACTACACTCAAACCTGCCTTGGGAAATGGCAAGCTGACCGTTATATACAGGGTGACTGCTATAAATATCATACTATATACAGGCAACTGATAATTTTGGGAAGTTGTTTCAGTGACCATAATATTCAGGGTGACCGCTATATACAGGGCCCTTATATAGGGGTTTGACTTTATGCTGTCTTTTGACTCAAACAAGCATATTCTCAACCAGCTACATTGTACCGATTGCAGGTTAATGGTAGGAAAGCTTTTCATAGGACTTTTTAGTTCATTATCCTTCAATGACAACACAATCGTAAGAAATTTCTATGTAAGTAATTTCACTCTTCAAAGCAAAGATTTGCCGCGAAATTAAAGAAAATTGCACACGATCACCTTTGATTATAGAACTATGCTTGACCTGTAGTCAAGCATATCATATGGATTACAGCATAACTGAGCCAATAAACTAAACACTGCTGACCATTTTCACTTCTTCTTAGCGGCAAAAGTTAAGCTTAATCCTGCAAGTGTAGAAACTGAGGACTCGTAGCCTTTATTATAACCCTGATGGGGTGCAGGGAGGCTATCTATGTCGACGAAAGTACTATTGATTTTCCTATTTTTCTCCTATTTTTTAACACAAAGTTTCCTATTTTTCCTATTTTCTGAATCCTGAGTTTCCTGTTTTCCTATTTTTTGAGCAACAAGACCACTGGACACTCTGTGATAGGACTAGGTAGCACTGGGGACATAAAAACTCTGCCAATGCTCTTGTCCTACCCCACGGAAGTGGGTCAAGAAGTGAGGCTTGTGTTTTTGTTGTGCGCATAACCCAAAGTTGCTATAACCTGCCTCAAGGATTTGTGCCCCCCTTATTACGCCATCTTAGGAGGGTGAACCAAGTAGGGGACTACGTGTCCTTTTGTTCTCTCCCCTGTACAATGTACGAATCTATAAATAAATAAATAAATAAATAAATAAATCTTGTAGTTATTTTCTCATTTAGCCTGCGTGTGTATTTAATTGCATGACTTTGTCATGTATATCTTAAGCAGAGTAGTGACTTTAACTTGTTGTTTCTGTGTTTGTTTTTTTAGTGCTGTTCATGTTGCCAAGTTTTTGGTGGATGGGTTGCATGCAGTATCGGGGTCAGACGATACGTCTGTCAGGTGCTGGGATATATCGACAGGCTACAATGTTGCTGTGTTTAAGGAGCATCAGGTATAGCTGCCGTTCAACAGGTTTTTCTATACTATGTAACTAAATATGCCATAATGGCAAAGTATATCTTTACAGCCCATTGTACCTTGTAGAGGTGATTACCGTAATTTTATAGATTAAGCCAAGTTGAAGCTCCAGTTAATAAATTTATAGTTTACATCAAACAAGAAACTTGTAACCCCTGCAAAGATATCCACAAATCAGTTAGCTTTTGGGGAGATGTCTGACGTTTAAAGGAGGGGCTTGGCGATTTTAGAGAAAAATAATGTTATGCTATAAAGTCCATTTTAAGACACGATAGTGCAGGTTCTTGGAGGTTTCTACAGTATTGTAGTTCGTTCAGTTAAGTTGTTTTACTTTCTTACTTTGACCATGATTTTGAGGATCAGTTTAGTTGCCCTCAAATGTCTCCCTATCTTACTTACTATCTTTACTTGTATTGTCACCCTACTCTTAAAGAAGACAAATTGCTGGAAAAACTTGGGTTCCTGTTCCCCCAAGGCTTTTATGAAGATCTTTACAGGATCTCGCCCTGTATAAGCCACTCAAAAAGGCGGGGGTATCATGAAAGGACCACCTTCGCTCGTGTTGCTGGGCTAAGAAAAAAATCTGACATAAGTACCTTTTAATACTCCTTAGCTGTTCTTCAACAGGGTTGTTTCTTAATAAAGTTACCATGGTACAGCCTGACAAACATGTACTCTATACAGGTAGCTCTTTAAATAGAGATGGCCACGGCAAAATAACTGCTTCACCTTTTCTGTCACACAGGCTGAAAACAGATTAACAACCATTTTAGTTATGCATGACCTCAGGATATAATGATGTTTCACTTGTTATGCATGACCACTAAGGTGCTCAGTCACCTAGACCGACTACAGCACAACAGTCGTTTCATTTGTTATGCATGACCACTAAGGTCCTCAGTCACCTAGACCGATTACAGAATAACAGTCCCTCAGCCCTTCATTTGAAATGAAACACCATCATATCATTGGCTATTGAGGCTAATTACGAGATAGCCAGATGGAGTATTTTAAAAAAACAGATAGATCAGGCACTTATGATCCAGCTAATTATTCGGCAATGTCTCAATGATGACTTTGTGACTGAGTCCACTCTAGCAGTCTGAGAAAGGTGTCCTCCTTATATGCTGGCACTAAAACCCTTCTCTGCTGCTAAGTTGCTAAGACATGCAGTCTCCATTGCTCTAGCTCTTGTGGTTGGAGTGTCCACTGGTCTGAATCTGTCATTGTTTATGAGTATATCCTCATGAAATACAAAATCAGGATCTCTTACTTCCCCACCAGCTGATTTTGCTCCTGACAATGCCACAAAGAGAGCTCCTGGATTTCTGGCTTCAAAGCCATGGTCTCCAGGATGAACCGCTACATACCTGAATGCTTCTCCAGAGCCCACAGTCAT